ATGAGCGTCCATGTTATCGAGAATCCGGTCGTCAGTGAGGAAGAGGTCGTCATCGACGTCGTTATGATGAGCTGACGACGACGATGGTGACTGTTGTTGCAGTTGCAGGAGTTGCTGCGGGCTCCTTCTCCGACGGTGGACCGGTGGTGCCGGTGCCGGTGTCAAACAAGGAGACGCCGAGGAAGCTGCTGCTGCTGTGGCTTTGGCAGGCTGGTGCTTGGAGTTGGCGGTGCATCATGTCGTTGTCGTCCATGGACGCAATCCAAGGCAGGCTTTGGAATTCGACAATGATTGGATACGGGCCACCGTCCAGTCCGGGCGCACCTCCTGTGGGCCTGCGGAGCTGCACGGCCTGCTCCCCCCTATGGCCTATCTAAAACAACTCTCTATCGTTGAGAACGGACGCATTTCTCTTCCTCCCAGCCGACACTGCTCCTCTCCATCGCGTGCGCCCGCTCCTCTCCACTGTGTGCGTCGTTCGCTCCCTCCATGTCCGGTAGTGGCCTGCTCCTCTCCATCACGTGCGTCGCCGGCTCCCTCCTTGGCAGGCGGCGGCGCCCTCCCCACCACAGCATCCTCCCCCCACCCTGACGCCCCTCCCCCGACACCGGCATCCGCCCCCACAAGGAGCTCCCAACGCCCTCAGATCCGGCAGCCATGGCGCTCCCCGCGCCAGGTTCTCCCTCCTCTCCCTGTGCTGCAATTGTATGTTTCAATTGTTTCAGAAGTTTCATAAGTATGTTGCAGTTGAATCATATGGATGTTGCAAAAGTAGATCAGGGGGATGTTGCACATGTTGCATATGTTGCAAGTGTTTCAAAGGCATGCTGCAATCATTTGTTCAAAATATTTCACCTATTTATAGACATAGGTTGCAAACGTTCTGATCTGGATGTTTCATATGCTTCACACAAATATTGCAATAATATGTTCCAAATGTTCAGTTGTTTCAGTCTTATGTTGCTGCAGTTGTTCCATATTGTTGCAAGTGTTTTATTCGAACTTTTCATGTTGTTTGGCCGGCGGGTGGACGGGGGTGCTGCGGTCAGGGGGGTGCTGGGATGTGCACGTCGCGCGCGTGGGCCGGTGCGAAGGCGGACGCTGCGGGCTACGAGGCGAGCAGGGGCGTGTGGCTCGCCGAATTCTAGCGGACTGGGCTGGGGCGCAAAGGCTCGCCGAAGGGCTAGCGGACTAGGCTGGGGGTGAGCGTGGGGCGGGTACAAAAGAGGATGCCGGGGGTTGAGCGCTTGAGCGGGCGTCCGGACGCGCGTGGTGCGCCGGACGTCTGGACGCTAGAATGACCGTCTCGTCCGGACGTGCCTCCCGTGGGCCTACGGAGCTGCGCGGCCCACTCCCCCTCATGGCCTATCTAAAACTACTCTCCCAGCTGACACCGCTCCTCTCCATCGCGTGCGCCTGCTCCTCTCCATCGTGTGCGTCGCTCGCTCCCTCTATGACCGGCAGCGGCCCTCTCCTCTCCATCGCGTGCACCGCTGACTCTCTCCCTGGCCGGCAGCGGCGCCCTCCCACTCCATGGCATCTTCCTCCCCCACCCCGGCGGTGCCTTCTCTCACACTAGAGGCTCCATCACACACCCTAACGTCCTCCTCCCCCTACCCCGATGGCTCCTTCCCCCACCCTGGCGTCCTCCTCCCCCACCCCGGTGATGCCCCTCCCCCGACACCGGCGTCCTCCCCCACAAGGAGCTCCCAACGCCCTCAAATCCAGCGGCTATGGCGCTCCCCGCGCCAGGCTCTCCCTCCTCCTGTGTTTCAATTGTTTCAGACATTTCAGAGGTATGTTGCAGTTATATCATATGGATGTTATAAAAGTAGATCGGAGGATGTTGCATATGTTGCAAGTGTTTCAAAGGCATGTTGCAAGCATTTGTTCAAAATGTTTCACCTGTTTCTAGACGTATGTTGCAATCGTTCTGATCTGGATGTTTCATATGCTTCACACAAATGTTGCAATAATATGTTTTAAAATGTTTCAGTTGCTTCAGTCTTATGTTGCAACAGTTGTTCCATGTTGTTTCAAGTGTTTTATTCAAGGGTTGTTTCATATGCTTCTCACAAATATTGCAATAATATGTTCCAAATGTTTCAGCTGCTTCAGTCTTATGTTGCAGCAGTTGTTCCATGTTGTTGCGAGTGTTTTATTCAAGCCTTTTATGTTGTTCGGCTGGGGGAGGGGGGCGAGCTGGCGGACAGGGGTGCGTGGCTCGCTGGGGGCCTAGCAGACGGAGGCGCTGGGGGCCGGCGGACGGGGGTGCTGCAATCATGGTGGACGCTAGGGCGTGCTCGTCGCGTGTGTGGGGCGGTGCGAAGGCCGACGCGGCAGGCTGCGGGACGAGCTGAGGGCGCACGGCTCACCGAAGGGCTAGCGGACTGGGTTGAGGGCGCACTGGGGGTGTGTGCGTGGGGCGGGGGTGAAAGCGGACGCAGGAGGTTGAGCACTTGAGCAGGCGTTTGGACATGCATGGCGCGCCGGATGTCTGGGCGCTAGATTAGCCGTTTGGAATTCACGGATGGACGACTCAGTACACTGTCACTCCAAAGTCCAGATTTTTTTTGAGAACATCGGGTTGGATTTTATTGAAACAGAAATTTTACATTGAACCCCTTACAAAGGAACCCCTGGAAGAAATTAGAAATACATTGCAAGCTTGTCAGGGTGCTCCCAATGGTCGTCGTCGCCGTCGACCGATGCCACCACAGCCCGATTATCCTCCACCTCCCGCTGTGAAGGAATATGCCATGAAGCTAAAGGCCGACTCCCATGTCGACGAAGGAGGTAAATATTTTGAAACGCCAGTAAGTAGCACATCAAACTTGATGTGCATCGAACATGATGAACGCTCCGGCAGACGTCTCCTCGCCGTCTCTTCGTCGAAGTTGGAAGAAATCGCCTGCTGCTCCACCGGCCATCCCAAATCGACGAACAACGACCCCATAAAGGGGAATAACGTCACAAGGAAGTTCCTGCCACAAACTCCTTGGAGGGGCAAACGGACTCTAGACCAACTGGCTAGAGCTGCCGAGTTGCACCCCAGAGACCTGGGTTCGACTCCCAGAAGGAGCGGATTTGCGTGGCCTGGGCAAGTATTTCCGTTCAAAATGAATGGGAATGGGGAATTTTCCTCGTGTAAAAACAAACTCCTTGGAGGGGCAAAATCCCGGTGAAAACTCCACCGGTATGAAAACCGAGTCTCTTCTGAACAGCAGGCATGTCGTAGGTCACGAGTTCTTTGCTGCTGCTGATGAGACGGGCACAGACGACACAACGGAGCACACAGAAGATTCGAGCGTCAACGCAGATGAAAAAGACGATGAAAAAAGTCGTCGATGCCGAACCTCCTGATAAAGACGTCACCATGCTCCACTCACCCACAAACTGGCAGCAGAATCCGCACACCACCAATCTAGCCGCCGCCAGAGATGCTCAGAAGAAACAAAAGATATACTCTATTAGGAGGGGATATGTACACCACCCACCGGATCCCCAACTCTCCAAGCTCACCGGCGCCACGAAGGCCACCGGCGGTGAGGAGAGCCAGCGAATCCGGCGGTGGGAACGAAAATCGCCCTGAAGGCGCTGCTCTGAACTGTAGCAGGGGAACGAGACGCTTCGAGAGTTAGGCCTTATTTAGTTTCTCCCCCTAAAGTTTACTCCCTATTACATCGGATGTTTGGACACGTATATGGAGTATTAAATATAGACTAAAATAACTAATTGCACATATTGTGACTAATTTGCGAGACGATTTTTTAAGCCTAATTAGTCCATGATTTGACAACATTGTGTTACATTAAACATTTGCTAATGACGAATTAATTAGGCTTAATAAATTTGTCTCACGGATTGCTGATAACTTCTGTAATTTATTTTATTATTACTATCAAACACTTCCATTTAACACCCGACGTGATATCTCTCAATTTTACTTCCTCGGACCACCTTCGTGTAGTCCCGGCCGGCTGGGCTGGGCCTGGCCTAGGCGCGTAGCCGTTGAACGCTGAGTGCTCTGCTTTGCTCTGCCCCCTGCCTGCTCACCACTAGCGTAAGAGAATAATACTAAAAAAAAAATACTAGTGTAGTGTGAGTTGAGCCGGTCGGGTCGGTGGCACTCGCAATCACTCCCATTCTGCCAATGCAACTAGTCCAGTCCCAACGCAACTGGAGCAGCAGCCACCAGCCAGAGCCAGAGCCAGAGCAGGGAAAGCTCACGCAGAGCTCCCCCAGTCCCAACACGAGCAGCAGTAGAATACATGCCCCACTGCACTGGCCATCCAGATCCAGACCAGACTAGTAGTATGATGCTGCTGCTGCTGCCTGCTGGTGGAGGATCCATATCCATCGTTCCATCCACTGTCCCCGGCTTCCTTCCCAGCTCGCTGTCAAGCAAAACAAGATGGATGCTTTTCGTCAATCGTCACAACCATGATTCACACGCATCCGCATCCGGAGGAATATCTACATGCATAGCATATTAGCATAGCTCGGCAACATGCGAGATATTTTCTCTAGATATTTATTTGCTCATCATGCCCACCTAACCATGGATACGCCACACTGAAACCATACCTGAATCTGAACCCAAAAAATGAAAACGAAAGGGGAAGGGGAAAAAACCACGGTTTCAGTCACACATACAACACACGTTCTCACTACTTTGCCAGCGACACAGCAACACTTGAGAGTTAAACACAAGTAAACTACTCATTCAACCAAACCATCACTGCCACCACCAACAGCCAAATTAGGTACAAGACTAATAATCATTCGAAAATGACAGCCTAGGTTCCTCGCCTGTTTCTGCACTAATACAACAGGGGCTTTAATTCTTCTGTTTCTGCAGAATCTGTGCAACAACAGGAGAGGGGGTGGGATTCTATTTGTTCATCGGTGGGTTGCAACCCAAGGGTGTTCAATTACCATTACCATTACCGGTCCTGCACGAGAAAGCAGGACCAAGGCACAAGACATATATTGACACCCTACCGCCTCAGCACTGGCTTGTAAAGCACGACTGTCACAAACTTGGCCTTGTACCGGTGCGTGATCCCCAGAGCAACCACGGATCTTGTGTTCTCCTTCTCGATGTAAAGGTGGTTCAGAACCACGGTCTGAGGTTGAGGCAGCGGGCTCGATTCGTCTTGGCTTGGTGGGAAGCTCAGCAGCGTATGCTGGAGATGAGGTGGCACCAGTGGGGGCTCCCGGCCTTCATCTTCATTTCCAGGAATAGGGTTGTTGTAGCTAGAGTCAGGTGAAGGTGGGACTTCAAATCCAACAACGTGGACCCCTTCCTGAATCATGGATTCATGGTTAGCCATCATAAGTCAGCCACAAAAATTTATGCAAGGTTATAATTCTGAGAGATGATTCTTACATGGTCATCCATGCCTTGTTGGTCCATATTCCAACAGCCTGATGCCTGTCCTGGAGAGATAATACGACATGTTCATGTTAGTAAAGAATTTAAAGAAAAAAACAATCTGGACAATGGACATTGCAAAAAAACAAAAAAAAAACGAAACAAATGGACATTGCAAAATAAAATTCAAAAGCTAACTTAACATCAAACACAATAACTATAAATGGTGCATAATATTAGTCATCCACCAAAAAATGCATGGTGTATTCATATCATTCACGCGTGGGGGGAGGGGGGGAAAACAATAAGATGAATCATGAATCGAATAGAACTGAAATCTCTATAAACTAATACAAACTAAAAGGACAAAACAGGAATCGTCAACACCGACTTCAGCGTGCCTCTCCGATTCTCCACCCGCCCCTCCTCCCCACGGCGCCACCCCGCCTCTCCCCCAAAGCCCCCACCCTATCCAGCGCCCAGCCCAGCCCCCCACTGCCTTCCCGCTGACACCGACATGCCCCATCCTCCATGTGTGCTTGCACAGCCACTGTCCAGCAAATTTGCGCGACTGCCGGGGGCGGCGCAAGCAGATGAGTGCGGCTGGACCTGCCAGGATGGCGCAAGCGACAAGACAGCCAGCCCTGTAGCTTGCTAGGATGAGCTTTGCTAACTGTTTTTGCATCCACTCGTTTTCTAGCAGCACTTGCAGAGCAGCACCGAGATTTGTCCTTCCATTAAGAAAGGTTGGAAAAACTTCTATTCTATCATCTTCCTATTGACAAACAATCAGACCTTGTTGTATTTTATGGTCTGATGAACTTGTCTGTTTTGGTGTCAAGGTCTATAGAACAGGTAGTTCTTCTGGAAGTGTAGGCTTGAGGTTTGTTGTTTACCTTCTCTATCTAAAGACAATATTAGTGTGGATCGGTTTGTTACAAGGTCATAGAAGAAAAGCATTACCTTCTATTTTATTTAAAGGGTTTCCTCTTTGAAAAAGCAAACGATGTGCTAGTTAACTTAGTTCTGGGAACTTCAGCAAATTGCAGTTTTAATTTCCTGATAATTGAGTTTTTTTTGTCCTTTAAACAGGCTATCCTATAATGAGACATATCAGACCATATATTCCATGAAACCTTGTGCTTATATATAAAAAAATGATATGATTTTACCTGGGGCCGGGCTACTGAACTTTTCGACCACTGAAATTGTTGTATCCTTTTTATCTCTTTGAATTTAATTCATGTACCTCTTGGAGCACGTTCTGAAATTTCAATGCCCTGTTTGGACTGGATTTCTGGTGCCTACAGAACTCCAATAATTAGGAAACAAAAAATTCAATGCCCTGGCATCATGATATATGAATTAAAACATAATGTCATTTTGGTTGTTTGATTTGCATCCGGATTTGTCCCCGTATTCTGGTTGTGATATTTTTGGCACATGGCAACGCACAGGCATAGACCTAGGATCATGCTGAAAAGGTTTCTTCTGTTTTCGATAATTCTTGTGTAGTGGTCTCCAGTCAGAGCTAATGTTGATATTGTAGACAAGGTTCAAAAAGGCGCTAGGCAGTATCAAGGCGGTGACCCACCACCTAGAGCCTAAGCAAGCCTAGGCATTTTATATATATACTAATATACATATATTATCTTCTAAAAGAAAAAAAATAAACAGCGGAATAGTGGGCTTAGATAGATAGAAAGGCCCAAGAGGTAAGAGTCCAGCCCATCTCCCACTCCAAGTCTCCAACCTTAGATGCAGCAATTAGTAGACCACGGCCCATGAAACTTAGGCCCATTTCGCTGGAACATATAAGCAACCACCAGCAGGCTAATGCCACTTGCTCGGTCAACTCAGCCGCCGCCCTTCCTCCTATCCATCTCCCAATCTCCCTGCTGCACAGCGACGAGTGCGACCTCCGCATTCCCCGCACTCCGGAACTCCAGCCACCTCGCCATAGCTCTGCAGCACGCACGAGCGTGACCCTCCGCACTCTCTACACGTGAGCGTGTCCCAAGCTCCCAGCGATGAAGGCCTGCTTCCTCATCTCCACAAGCGGCAAAGACCATGTATCGGCAGGCCCGCCGCCGCCGCCCGCACGCGTCCGCGCCCGTCATCCAACTCTGCCCGAAGCTCCTCCTCCCCCACCAGCGACCTCCGCCAAACGCTCCTCCTCCCCCACCGGCGCTGCCGACGAGCTGCCGCCGCCTACCCCCCCAGGCCAGGCGGGACCCCCTCGCCTAGCGCTTAGTCATGCCTAGGCGTCCGCCTAGCGTCGCCTTTTTGAACATTGATTGTAGAAGATTACAATGACTTCGTTCAAAATTCTAATGTATCTTACATGGTTTGGCCATTTTTGAATTATAGTTAAATGACCTTTTAAATGGCCAGTGCGAGAGATAAACCACAAATAGTTACTAATTTTGTCCTTTATCAGACCAACATATTTCTAAGCTTATGTGTTGACTGTTTTTGCAGGGACTACTCATTACTAGGTGTAGTAGTGAAAGTGTGCGCTGTAAGGTTGTGTAGCTGATCAATGATTCCATCATCAATCATGCAAACTTGGGAGAAACAAGCAGAACTCATTTCTACTGAAGAAAGGGCATCTCATGGCATCGGATTGATCACCAAACATTTCATCAGAGATCCACCATTCCAGGTACCCTATACCCTACACAGCTGATTCGTCACTATGTAATTAGAATTGGAAATAATCCAAAAAAAAAGGGCCTTTACAGCTGTGCATTGCAGAGAGATTAATTGCTTAGTATGGAGGAGGCTATACAAAACTACTAGCTGTGTTATAGCATCGGCAATGCAAGGATTCTATTTGGTTGCACATTGGCCTGGTGCAAGCGGTAGAGTCTTACCGCCTGTGACCGGAAGGTCCCGGGTTCGAGTCACGGTGTCCTCGCATTGCACAGGCGAGGGTAAGGCTTGCCACTAACACCCTTCCCCAGACCCCACAAAGAGCGGGAGCTCCCTGCACCAGGTACGCCCTTTATTCAGACTAACTGCACTGTACTCTGCAGTAATGAAAAAATCAGAGCAGATTGATTGCTTGAGACTGCAAGTTGCTACTTCGTGTGACAACAACGCTGGAAGCAGCAGTATCTGGCTTCCATGAACTGGAATACTTGATGGCCTGCCATTCAACGCTGGCACACCATCTGTTTTTGTTTGCCAGCATTTAACTACTTCTTTGTGTGCAACATGTAGTAACTATTATATATAACGCACGGGCATTAGCTAGTACCATAAAAAGAACAGCACTAAGCTTTGTGATGAAGATAAAACTATGAATAAATATCAACTTCAAGATGTCAGAATCCAGATTTGATGAAATGCCAGGCAAAATTGATTCAGATCTTCTGCTGTTCCCATACAGATCAAGTACAATCGAATGACATTTCACCAGGAATCATTTTTTGACTTAGGACTATTACTAAATGGAATGATCATACAACTAAAAAGATTTGAAGCAACTATAAGAATCCAAATGGTATTCCCATAGATCAATTTTAGCCTAAAGTACTTGGGACAAGGTCATGGTCATATACTAGGAAAACATTTCAGGCAAGGTATCACAGCCCTGTACATGGCACTCCCTCTCCACCTATATTGCAGTTGAGTACATGAACCATCCTTGTAAGGGCCTGCTTGGCAATTTAGGAAAATTATCTTCATAGGAATATTAATGCCTAGGAAATTATGTGCACATAGGTCTAGGATCTGGATGATTGTTTGGCAAACATGATTAGTATCCTAAAAGAAGCCCCAGACTTCCCCATGTGCCGCCGCAGGGTATGGCGGCTCCTTGCTGGAGCTTCACCGCAGGGGCGGATCCAGTAAAGGGACATGGGTGTACACATGTACACCCAATAATTTTTGCAAAAACTTCGAAGTTAGGAGGCTTGTCGATCAAATAGCTAGATAGCTTTATGCTAGGGTTTCGGTGCTCAGCTTCGCACAGCATGAAGGGAAGGTAAGAGAACGGGTGGGAGTACCTGGTGGGTGCTCGTCGCCGGCGAAGAGACCAACGAAAGCCTCAGCACCTAGCTTAGGGCGGCGGCGGCGGCGGCCGACCAGTCGTCTGAGAGCGAGAGGGGGGCGAGAGAGAGAGACAACGCACGAGGAGCCGAGGAGGGATGCAGCGGACAGAAGGAAGGGGAACGCAGGTTAGGATGCATCGACGGCGTCAGAAAGATCGCACCCGCACGGGCCTTCTTCTGGGCCGTTTTTTTTTTCACAATTTCTTTGGAAATTTCTGTTTTTCTCTCTCCGTTGCTCAAAAAACAAAATTCTTTCTCTCCCTTTTAATTTTTTTATTCTTGTTCATTTCATATTTATTCTCTTCGTGGGACACTATCAGTGGCTAGTACTTGCTCCGTTTTAAATTATAAATCACTTTTATTTTTTTAGTACATCAATTTTGTTATGTATCTAGATATAACGTATGTCTAGATATATAGCAAAATCTATGTAAAAAATAGTCAAAACGACTTATAATTTGAAACGGAGGGAGTACAACATTTGTTTTAAATAACTGGAATAATAATGATATTTACGAGTACTCCCTCTGTCCCTGAATAAATAGATTTCTGGAGACTGGAGTTGTCTTAAGTTTTTTAAACTTTGACCAAATTTCTAGAATAAAACGTTAATATTTATGGTATCAAATTAGTATCATTAGATTTATCATAGAATATATTTACATAAGGTGCTTATTTTATGGCATAGATGTTATTACTTTTTTCTATAAAAATAGTCAACACGGATTCTAGAAATTGATTTATTTGGAGACGGAGGGAGAATATTTGTAAATATAAGTAAATGGGACTTTTATATTTTATTAAGGTTGAATATTTTTATATTGAAGGAAGCATTTCACAAGAACATATAACAATTTCACAAACCAAGAAGCTATAACAACATTTTTCTAAAATAAAAACATTTTTGTCTTTGTGACAATTTCTCAAATAAACGTTAAATATTTTTGTGCTAAACATGGAACAATAGTCCTTGTGAACAAGGAACATTGCTATCAACAATAAAAAATGATATGGACTCATAAAAAAATGTTTTCCATTCTCCAACAAGAACTAATAAAGGATACTGATACTTCAATATCTCGTGCTATGTGAGTTGCTGCTAAAATTCCCGTGCGTGACTTGCTTCAATTTTATTCCTTAAATCTTACTTTTGTTCTATTATTTCACTTGTTAGTGATTATATATTACACCATTGTTGTTCAATCTATTTTGGTAATGAATAAACATCTCTCGATCGTAAGCAAGTGCGCATTCTGACTCCTAATCCGGGCGTGCCTAACTTGCTGATGCAGGGTGCAAAGTACCTCAATACATTCCCGTTCTCCCAGTCTCGGGTGACTGCTAAAATTCACCGGTTGAAAGCTAGGACTAGGATGTCACCAAGTATCAATATTGTTTTCATAAATAATGAGTCTATAGTGTTCAACCATGTTTGTTTTCATGTATCAATATTGGTACTTTCTGCTTC